GGAGCAAGAGAGCAAAACACCACACACACCACCACGCGACCGTCGCTCGTACGCGCGCGACCACTGAATCCTCGGTGTTTTTTCCGCTCTCGGTGGTCGCGCCTCTCGGCGGTGGCGCTCGTTCGGATGCAAGTGCAACGGTCAGTCAGTCCGTGGTTTTCTGTGATCTCGTCGCCCTGCCATTCGTTTCTCTCCAGATAACGGGTATAGTACACCTTGCGCGTGACACGTACCGGAGCCTCTCGACAAAGCCTCTCGACAATGGCCTTCTCGTCGCGGCGCTGATCGATTGATCGTGACCACCTACTACTGATGCAGATTTTCCACGTACCCCCTCCGAATTCTTTGTCGTGTACAGTATACGCGTTAGAGGTTGGGGAGCTGAGGGCTCCATGCCGTTCACTCCGATGCCATTCTCCGTGGTTTTCAGATAGGATATAGGATTACGAAAACTATTGTGGCGGCGCGTTCACGAGAGCAACAACCGTAGAGAAAAAAAATCTTTAACCTTCCAATCAAACGCCACGGAGGAGTTCAAGTTTGCATCAGATTAGGGCAAGTATAAAGGTAGAGACCGGTAAGGTCTCTACGTTAATTAGAGAGGCTATTACGTTATAATAGTTAAGACAATACTGTCTCTAACATTAATGTACTAGAATACTTTCTTACTAGTGATCTTTCCTTTATTAGACTCAATGCAACGAAAAATTTCCTAATAAATACTAAGAGTCGACTCTATGCTGTTGTCATGCGTAGCAACCATATTTCTTTTTCCTTCTTCCTCACTCTTCCACGTCACCAAATATACTTGCATGACAATAAAAAGAGACCACTAATAAAAACCATTGTACATGCCCTTACTTTTTGTAAAAACTTTCCTTTAGGAAGGCAGTAGATTAGGGAGCCCTTTGGAGACTGTTTCAGATTAAGCCTAACTACACGGAGAGCGCTACGCGTCGGACGTACGGTGCGAGACGAAAAATCGGACGCATCCATAAGCTGTCCCGTCGTCATCAGCCATCTAACATCATCAAGCATACATACATGCAAAAAAAAATTAAACTATTTTTTCTCTTAAATTATTTATCCAAATCATGATCCGATTGCACCATTAAATTCGTTGCAATTAAATCTATAAAACAAGACCACACATGGATATATTCCGGTGAAAAAAATTAGCTTATTATTGAATTATTTTTAAATGTTGCACGTTGTTCCACCAAGTATATCGGAATTGTTTCACTAGGTAGATCGAAAATGTTTCAATCGTTTAAATCGGACGTTGTTTCACCTTATATAAAAACAATGTTTCAGCAAATAGCGAAAGAATGTTTCAAGTCACTGCAACATTTGATCCATGTAAAGTGAAACATTTTTTGTGGAAAAAAATGAAACGAAATCTCTTAATAGATGATTTCCATAATATGTGGGTGATTTGTTGTAAAAGATTTTTTTTCAATTCACTTTAGCATTAGATCTATACATAAACATTGTGAATACACTAGGTGAAACATTTTTAGTGGAACATTATGAGTACACTAGTGGATACTCCCTCCTTACTCTTAAAGGAAGTCGTTTTGGATAGCGACACGGTCTCCAAAGCACAACTTTGGCTTCTTGTTTCTACAAAAATATTTATTGAAAAGTGATATATGTATACTTTTATGAAAGTATTTTTCAAGACAAATCTATTCATATAATTTTTACATTTTTAAACTCAATAACTTGAGAGTTATTCATGATTTATATTCCCAAGGTTTGACTTCACTCAACCAACATATATACAACATTTACAAATAAACCAGTGAAACACAATAAACTACTTAGTGAAACATACAAATAGCACCGTGAGATATATTAAAGAAAGATGTATACATCATGACACTAAATAAATATGTGCAACATAATAGAATTTCAGCTGAAACATTTAATTTTCATATGTGAAACATTAACTTTAATTGGTTGAAACATATGTGTGCTTTTTTATTATAATATAGTCATGTGAGATCTTATTGTAAAGATTTAATTGTAACGAATACAATGGTGTAATCGGATCGTAGATTGGATGAGTAATTTAGAAGAAAAATCTTTTTCAAGTTTGCTAAAAATGTGTTATGTACATGCAAGTAACCTCGTGTCATCTCTTTTTCATGCATATTAATACCAGAAAGGAAGCATATGTAACATAGAGAGAGGATCTGACAAAGGCTGCATGCGGTAAAATTATAGTAAGAGGTGTCTGATTTTTTTCTCAGGATCGGACGACCGAACTGGAGCATTTCCCTAACTACACCGCCATCTGCTGCAGATATAAGCCGGAATCACAAGGGAAACCGGGGCGAAAGAGAGCTCCTACTGTTGATGAATTGTTCATAGATTGACCTGACCGACAGGTTAATTTGGAATTCAAACACATAACGCCGAAATGTCCAATCCGACACCATTTGTATCTGCGGAGGATTCTACGCGAAACGCAAAACGACATTCCCGTCGACCGCCGGCGACTTATCTTGCTCATCGAATCGACGCGAGACCAATTGCAGGCTTGCAGCGGTCAAGAGTTCATACTACTAGTATGGAGTAACAAACATGCATACACTCGATGAAAGAAGCGAATTTCGCTGTGCTTATTCCGCCGGTGTATGTTAGGCCTGTTTTTTTTTCTCAAAACTTTCAACTTTTCCATCACATCAAAACTTTCCTACACAAACTTTTAACTTTTAGCGTGAACTAAACACACTCTTAGCAGCCTAGCACTGACAGGCACACATATCGGAGGCATGCTAGAATAGAAAAGGAAACCTTCATATTCACTCTCATGACATATAAATTTTTAAATTAATCAGATAAAAAAATAGAGTCCATATACAGATATAATTTAATAATAACTAAAATTGGTAGTCAAAAATAAGGAATATAGGAAGAGAATACTAGATTTCATAGCGGCATACAATAGAACTAATAGAAATTTGGAAATAAAAAAAATAAGAAAATTAAAAGTAGAGGTTAGAGTTCATATAGAAATACAATTTAGAAATAACAAAAAAAATTAAAAATTAAAAAAATAAGGAATATTGAAAGAAGAATATAGAGTCCATATAAAATACAACTTTAAAAATAACTAAAATTCAGAATTAAAAAATAATATTGAAAGATAAGTTCAAAGTCCATATAGAAGTACGTACAATTTAGAAATAATAGAAATTATAAATTAAAATAAGGAATATTAGAAGAAGGGTATAGAGTCCATATAGGAATTTAGAATTAATTAAAATTCAGAATAAAAATAATAAAATTAAAAGTAGAGTTTAGAGTCTATATAGAAATACAAATTACAAATAACTAAAATTAAAAATTGAAAAATAAAAATTGGAACAATAGTTTAGAGTTCATATAATAATCCAATTTAGAAGTAACTGAAATTCGAAATAAAAAAATAAATAATATTAAAATATGAGTTTAGAATCCATATAGAAATACAATTAGAAATAATGAAAATTTAGAATTAAAAAAAATAAGAAATATTAGAATAAGAGTCCATAGTCCATATAGAAACATAATTTATAAATAACAGAAATTCAGAATTGAAAAATAAGAATATTGAAAGAAGAGTTTAGAGTTCATATGAAGTATAATTTAGAAATAACTGAAATTTTCACTTTAAAATAAGAAATATAGGAATAAAGTTCATAAATAATATAAACTCATAATTAAAAAAATAAAGATTGTTGGAAGAGGAGTATAGAGTCCATACATAAATACAATTTAGAAATAACTAAATTTCGGTATTAGAAAACAATTAATAACTATCACATATATATACAACACAATATAAATATTACACATTGATAGTTTGGTCAAGTTAGTACAAAATTTAAATTATGCTATTATTTTAAGATATTTTAATAATAAAATAAAACAAATATGCTATTATATGAGAGAAAACATAAGATGCTAGCCTCGCAAATTTTCATGGACCACCATGGTAGTCGCAAATATGTTACTTGCCAGATATTATGAAAAAGTTATCGACTTTGTATAAAAATAATTAAATATTTTTAGAAACTTAACATATACCTTAGAACAAGAATAAATAAGCTAAGCAATAGAATAGATTTTTTTAAAAAAAATATTATATTTTTAGAATCGTAGAGCAACTACGAGAATAACTCAGTGAATAGAAACAAACAGGGTAGAAGTGTCAAAATGGTGGTGGGGTGAGAGACCTTTCAAGGTCTCAAAATTAAGATGCATGCAGCGATAAAAAATGAAAAGGAGAGGAGTTTTTTTAGCACCACTCGCATCTGGAGTTTCTGGACACAGTTTTAACATCAGAGAGCTACAGCGTACGTACGTGTACAAGCTACAAAACCATGATATTTTCTTGTCATTTTTCATGGACGTGCTCTTTTCTCTTCAGTATTACAATTTCATCGACGTTTCTGATTCCTCGGATTCGGAGGGGTCAATATTCCCTTTCATGCAAGCGCATACGTACTACACTCCATATTGCAACGTATAGATCGATAACTGCAGATAACGATTGCATATGTCCTAGCTCTAGTGGATCAGATTATCGAGAGACATGGGCGTTGCGAATTGGAATCCCGCAGCGTGCCACGTAGTCGTATTCCCGTTCAGATCTTTTCGACTAGCATGGCCGGAGTGTGTCCAGTGTCACTGCAGGAACACCGTCTTGTGGCTGGTACTGGAATCGACAATTTTGTGCATGAGATCCTGGAAATTCCATGCTTCCCGCCCAGCCAGATCAAGATACGAAGACCTCGTGTTTCCTTTTTTTTTTTTTTTGAAACTACGGTCTCGTGTTTATGTTTTCATCAAATGCTACTGGTACTGTGTACTATGCAGGAGTAAAGAATATGAGAAGCCATACCGTGTGGTGCACGCGTCGCTCTCGCGCGGGCGGCTCGGGGGGCAAAAACCCTAGCCTCCCGCGCCTGTCAGCTCCCTCCCGGCGTGACGTGGACGGGGCAACGCCGATGAGGTACCCCACCGCCGGGAGAAGTGGAGGCGGCGGGGCGGTGTGGGGTGGCGGCGGATCCGGCACCCCCATGGCCGGATCTGGCGCGGCAGCGCGGCCCGGCGGTGGTGCGCGGCAGGGGGCGGCGACGGTGGCCCGGCGGCGCGATGCGGCTGGGGGCGGCGGCGGCGGCCCGGCGGCTGGGAGCGGCACCTGGCAAGGCGGCGGCGGCACCCCGCCCAGATCCGGCGTCCCCGCGGCCGGATCCGACTCCCGGATGGTCAGGGTCGTTATGGCCGGCGTCGCCGGCGACGGGAGGACGACGCGTGCGGAAGGACGGCGCATGCGCGACGGGAGGACGCCGGCGTCAAGGTTGATACGTGTGGCGCCGTGCAGCGGGCCGACGCGGCAGTGGCTGGCGCCGGCGATGCTTGCCACCGGACCTCGTGGATGACCGCCGGTGGGGGCTGCTGCCAGATGGATGGCTGCGTTGTGGGGGATCCGACTGGGACGCCGGCTTGCATGGTGGCGGCGGGGTCGTTGCGCGTCGCCCGTGTGGCGGCGCTGCAGGTGTTGGCCGGTGGAGATGCCGCCGGATCTGGGGTCGAGCTCAGATTCAGCCGCACAGCACTGCCATCACGACCGGTGATGACGAGGGGATGCCATGTGGGTGCCTTCTCATCTCCTTGGAGCTCCTCCCCTTCTTGACCGCCTGGTCGTGGGGAGCTCCTTTGCGAGACGGTGAAGGCGGCGGCAAGGTTGCCCCAGGTTGTTATCGATAGTGATGGGCGGTGGCAGGCACTCTCTTTGGAGGTGACAGCATGGAAGGAAGGCTAGCTGGTCGCCGAAGTGCAACGGTGGTTTGGTCTTGCTCGTTCCAACGTGTAGCTGTGGGGGTCGCGCTGGCAGCAGGTTAGGTCGCTTGGAGTCCAGCCCACGGAGGGGCGTCGTTGCTGTAGAGGCCACGTGTTGACATTGCCTGGAAGTCGGTGAGGTAGCGGCAAGAGGGGCATTGGCAGGTGCTAGGCGAAAGCCGGCCCAATTCTTGGGCGGCAACGGCGACGTCTTTGGGCGTTGCAACCCTCTTGAGGGCGTTGTTGAGGTGCCTCCCTCCCCCTCTTCAAGGATCCTCTAGGTGAAAACCTCATACTTTCGGGATGGGCGATGGCGGCGTTTTGAATGTCGTGACCTTCTTGAAGGCATCGTTTTGGAGGTGGCCGTGTGTTCCTCTCGGTGTGGTGGTGTGTAGGCACGTGGTGGGGTGTGTTTTCTCTTGTCCGGTTCCCTTGTCCCCTGCTACTTTTGCCTTTGGTTGTAAACGTCTGTTTTACTCCTCTTAATAAAAAATACGCTTCTAGCGTATTCCCGAAAAAAAATACCGTGTGGGGCAGACTGGAGAGTGCACATGCCTTGGTTCTCAATTCTGATAGACAAGCATATGGCATGTGATGAGCAGAGATTAGGGGTTTGTATGTTGAATACTCCTATAGAAACTGGTCATAATCATGGTGTAATGGATTATGAGAACACAGGCTGTGTTTAGTTCACACTAAAATTGGAAGTTTGGTTGAAATTGTAACGATGTGACGGAAAAGTTGAAAGTTTATATGTGAAGAAAAGTTTTGATGGGATGAAAAAGTTGGAAGTTTGAATAATTATTTTGGAACTAAACACGGCCATACTCGGATGAACAGCCCAACAATGGTCGGAATAATTAACTATTCGCCACTCTTACGAGTAGTGATAAAGAATTTACCACTGGATCCACATGTTATAGACAAATGAGGACCCACATGTTATAGGCAGCGAGTGGCAAATTCTTAATTGTCACATTTTAAAAGTGGCAAATAGTTAAATGTCCCGCTGTTAACTGATTCAAGAATGAACAGCCGCCTATGTAGCTTAGCAGTACCTTTTCTTCTGACTTGAATCAAGAGCAACCGCAAAATTGTCCCATACCATACCTTCAATATGAAGTTTCAAACCAACCTTTTTAGTTGGAAGTTTCAAACCAACCTTTTTAGTTGCTGCAATTTTAGTTCTCCAATTACAAGGACCCAGCTTCGAGCTTATTTCTTCTTCACCCGTTCGCGGCCACAAAAGGCCAAAGACGAAAACAACCACAAACCCTGTCCCAAATATCGCAACACCATCGTTGGAGAAGCAGCCATCTGTAACTGCCACAGGACTCCACCTCACAACGGTATGTGACCGGAATTCAGATTTTCAAAATACAAGTTCAAAACAAAATAATACTCATCCAGAATTATTCGTAACAGTTGTACTTGAAAGCAGAAAGTAGGCCACAAAAGAAATTTTCCAAAGGTCACACAACTAGGCAAAATATAGATGAATTCATACAGCTACCCATACAAATCCCTGGCATTGCTACATGCCTACAAGGCTACAACACTTGCTGATACTACTGCTTGCTGCTACGCTACATGCAGATGAACGGGCAGGCTTCACAATAAAAAATATTAGCCTGCACTCAACCATAAGGCACAACCTGTACACATCAAGAACAATCAAGAAACTGTACAGAATTGAGGGATGCGATCATACAGACCAGCATCTCATCTCATTTCATCTCATCTGCCTGATGAGACCAAGGACCTCTCTTCAGAGCCCTGCTTGACCAATGGTTTTGCGGGTGGAGAAAGCTTTGTGCTTCCACGATCCAATTCCTGGGCAGCTGCGGCATCTCCGCTAGGAACCAGTTCTGGTTTCTTGGTGTAGTTGAACTGCAGATCCTTGTTCGCAGCCAGCGCCAATAGCTCCGACTCCTCGAGCCCCCTAGTTGGGCCAAGGCTGCATCTATCTGGTTTATGCTTAGCAAGCGCATCCCTGAACTTCTTAATCTGCACACAGAAGACACCACAATTATAAGTACATCATCAAACAACTTACGACACTGCACACCACATATTCAAAGTATACACATGTGACCAAGTTACTGGTACAGAAACCCCGGTTAAAAGCAGAAGTATACATCAGTAAAGAGGTAACACACGTGATCTCCATCAAGTCATGTTCTAATTTAGCAACAAAATTTCTTCTCCTTTTTTTCCAATATCACCGAGCTAGCAGTAATGTTTAGATGCAGGAGAATCTGGTCGATTAATTGGTAAATTTTGGAAGAACGTTTCAAAAGAGGCATCATTGTGAGTTTAAGAGAAACTTCCCATACTAAATTTTACTAGTAGTAAATACATAGTACTCCCGAAACACTATAGAAGATTAAACATGAACTAGGATCCAATTATACCACAAGGCTAATGGGGAATAGTTTCCTTACAATACGAATATTAAGCAACACGAGCAATTGAAAGCACAAGACCAGATCAAGATCTTACAGTTGCGTTAGTACAGCTGAAGCTGCAGAGCCGGCCCTGAGCTCCCCTGTAGAACCTGAAGAAAGGAAGAACATGAACATGGAGGCTGTAGCACATAGACTTGTGCTCCTCATAGTTCACCTGCAAGAACAGCACGTCCGGATTCTGCTCTGCAATCTGGCAAATCTGCGCAAAGAAATACATGTAAAAAATTTTCAGAACTGCCGAAATCTCATGAAGGGTAAGCTGCAATTGAACTACTTCATCGGCTCTGATTTTGACCTTGGGGTGGAGGGCACGGCAGCCGCCGCAGCCAGGGGAGAAGAAGTCGACGATGACGAGATTGTCGCCGGCGTTGGTCAAGGAGTCGACGAGGTCTTGCGCGGACTCGACCTCCCGCATGTTGGGCTGCAATCCCTTCTCCCACCACTTCGTGGCTTTCGCAAACGCGAGATTCATCTGCCGCGTACAAAGCAACCAAATCATATTAGCACGCTCCGAAAAAAAAATGTTGTAAAAATAACTATCTATGTAAAGTAAATAAAGTATGAAGAAATTTGTAGAAAGTAAATTTATGGTGAGGGATGATTTATTATGTGAAATAAAAGATACTTAACAAATTACAAAGAAAAAAAACTAAAACAGGATGAAATGGAAGAAAATTTTTTTTTAGTCAAATCACCTGCACCGGCGCGACGAGATTCCGGGGCACGGGCCTGGATCTCCTCGGCCCAACCGCCAGCCTCCGGCCGAGGAAGGGGCTCCTCCTGCCGATCCGCAACGCCGACGTCGCCGCCGCCGCCGCCATGCGCACCGACGCCACGGCGCCCCTCCGCCGGCCGCGGCTCCCGCACGGCGGCACCGCCACGCTCCCCTTCACCGCCACCGCCTGCGCCGCCGTCGCCGCCATCGCCGCTCTCACGGATCAACCAACACGCTCGCCGAGGAAGGAGGAGGAGGAAGCACGCGAGGAGAGGAAGATGAGCACGAGAAGAGGGGGAAAGGAGAAGAAGAGGATTGGAGAAGCGGCGAAGGAAAGCTGCTCCTTTTAAAAAGGAGGCCCACGGATAAAAACGAAAACCGCCACTTCCCATCCCTCGATCTCAGCCGTCCGTTCGACCCATCAACGGACGGATGGACGCCACGTAAGGCGGAAGCTTCTGGCGCTTCTCTGTTTTTCCGGTGGTTTTTATTTCGAGGAATGTATATATTCCGGATAAGAGAGGAAAAAAAAAAGAAATTGGGGCTCACCGCTCACATGCCCCGTAGGGTCAGGAAGGCGCGGTGCCACGTGTGGGAGGGTGAGCTTGGTGCAGCTCGCGGGGGGCACGTAGCGAGACGCGGTTTCTTGGTCAAGGATGAGGTGGGGCCCAGCGCACAGCGAAGTGGAGAGGTAACTGTATAAACCGGCGACCCATGACCCCGGCCGGTTTTGTTTTGGTGACACCTATTTACATCCCTGATTTCATCTATCGGAAGTTTTTTTTTTAATGTTAACAATTGTTACTGTATAATTTTTCTTGTTTAGTTTCTTAAGCTGTTTTATCTCTAGCTGTGATCAAACTATGTTAAGAAATTTTGCAACAAATGGCAAACAAGTTGGAATCATATGGGTTGTTTTTAACTTTTTCAACTGTTAATTATCTTCCTTTGGGGCACCACACATGTTAATTATCTCTATTTACTTGAGAGTGGACTACCAACCAGGCCACTACTATTAATAGTGAACTAGTAGTATTTAGATAGAGATGATATTATGTGGTGAAGTTTCAACGCAGGACGGTAACTCCTATTCATAGTAACTGATTCGGATAAAGAATGAAAGTATCCGCCGATGGCAACTAATAATATGGCCATGAATGATTATTAGGTGTCTATTTTAAGCACAACCACGCGTTGATTATCTGTAAGATTATCTTTCATTTTCTGATTTTGTTGTCCTGCTAAAAAGAATGCGCTCCTTGGCATATGCTTACGATTTAAATAATTAAATTCGGCCTACCAATTTAGTGTCATTTATCTAAAATGACGAGTGTAGAAATATGGATTCAATTAACCCAAGAAAAGCCGGATCTCGCTGGCCTTTTTCTAAAAGAAAAATAACCCAATAAATATATACACCAGTGCATGAAATAATTCGGAGAAGGAAAAACTTTGCGTACTCTATTTGACATTTTGTCAAGCAACCAAACAAAGATGTGATTATTCCACTACTTTTCCCCACCTTATTTAAAGAGACGTTTCCTGCAGATCCACTATTACTACCGCTGTCATGGACTCACGAGAACCCTGAGGATCTGATGGCAAAGTAATGAAGAGCACTAATGAGTCATGACGTACACAAATAGACATCCAAATAGAAATAGTGACATCCTGAACCCTGAGATTCCGATGTCATAGTACTACAAATAAACATCAGGAATGGGTCGTGCCGTACACAAATAAACATCCAAATGGAAATAAGAGTAAATTACAGATTGGGCCATGTATTTTGATCGTAGTTTCACATTGAACCATCTATAGTTCAACTTTTTCATTTAACACCAGATCTTTTTACCTAAAGTTGCAATTTGGACTAGTGGAAAAACAAAAGGGGACTAGCTAAAAAACTGTCGAGTATCTTTTGAGGGGAAAACTTTCAAATCTAATTGTAGTATATAATTTCATTAGAACTATACTATAATAATAATAACTTGTATATATATGTTTTAAAATAATATATGCAACAATTTATATAGAGATAACAATGTAGTTAGAGTGTAGTTACACTAATTATAATATAACTACAATGTAACTAGCATGTAACTGGAATGCAATTTAGATGTCACTTAAATAAATCTACCATAAACATATGATGATGGGACTAGCTTGTGAAAAGAGAGTTTAGATCCGATAGCAAAATATCTCAACACAACTCTTAAAGCGGAATAGACGGCCAAAAAAATTGATAGTTTTCACTCAAGAAAAGGCAACCCTGACAGAAAATTTAACTACTGAGCTCGTATGGTCTGAAAGAATTAAGTACTCCTACCTGTTCAGTTAGCTCAAGGAAAACAAAAGGCAACCCTGACAGAAAATTTAACTACAGTACACCCACGAGGACTGGTCAACTAGGCAATGTATCCTATGCACACACCTATTTTGGTGCACTCATGCACTCGGCCACTGTCGGCCCTTCGATTCTAATCCAAAGGCTAAAAACGAAGGTGCGGCGTTTTTGTAAAAAGCCGCCCACAACACCTATGTATGTTTGCAGAAAATCCCTCGCTTTCCTTCATCTTCTTTCGTCCAAACCTCCTCGATCCACGTCAATCCCCAAACCTGCTCTATCACCTTCGGTCGGGGATGGCGGGACTCGTCGTCGGCGCCTACAGCATGGCTGTTGGTGATTTTGCGTCCATCTACACACAGCTGAACATCGAGCTGGCCGAGCAAGCAGCACCGTGGCCCGATTGGCCGGCAAGCAGCAACATGACTGGGGAGTATCATGGTGTTCAATCGAGGAAAAATGGCAGCGAGGCTGCCATATCAATAATTAAAATAGGCTATGTCCAATCAGGAGAAAAACAAGAAGAGAAATCAACAAATAAACATGGACATTGCAGCTGAAGAATTGAGAAAAAAAACACGAGAAGAGACTCGCCGGAACAACGGCCTCCATGGATCCATGTGGACACTATAGATGGAGACGAACCATTCATCGAGCAGCTGGACAGCCACGCCAGCTGTGAAGGATAGCGCCGAGGCAGCCGCACCCTGGCGTGTCGACCGATGCTAGCCCTAGCAGCAGGATTCAATGAAAATCAAGATGGGTCGTCGTTCTGTTCAACCCCATCGTACGGAGATGAGATCTGGATCGAGGAGGTTTGGACGAGAGAAGACGAAGAGAAGTGAGGGGTTTTCTACAAACATACACAGGTGCTGCGGGTGGCTTTATGCAAAAACACCGCACCTGCGTTTTTAGCCTTTGGATTAGAATCGAAGGGCCGATAGTGGCCGAGTGCATGAATACACCAAGATAGGTGTGTGTATAGGATACGTTGCCGCTCAACTATCTACTGACAGAAAACACTAGTGCTGTATTTTAAACCTGGATTCCACAGAGAGCATAAAACAAGAGTTTCGACTAGATTGCTACTCTTAATAAATTCGAGTAGTTCACACCTCGCGCAGGAATCTCTTAATGTATGAATCAGTTCAGTTCCCACCGAATTCAGTAAATAAATGCCACATTACATAGGCCTCAATTGTTTCCAAACCCAACATTTTCAGACCGCAGAACAGAACCGCTACAAGGTTCTGTACAAGTTTATCTTGCACCATATTGAACGAGGATGCTCTTCAGCCCACAATCTACAATCTTCACTCTTCTGTACAGTGTACATGCGCCCAGTTCCTTCCACATATTTTACCATTTAGGGCCCGTTTAGTTCCCCAAAAATTTTTCCCAAAAAGATCACATCGAATCTTTAGACACATACACGAAGCATTAAATATAGATAAAATGAAAAACTAATTGCACAGTTATGGGGAAATAGCGAGACGAATCTTTTAAGCCTAATTAGTCCGTGATTAGCCATTAAGTGCTACAGTAACCCACATGTGCTAATGACGGCTTAATTAGTCTCAAAAGATTCGTCTCGCGGTTTCCAGGCGAGTTCTAAAATTAGTTTTTTCATTTGTGTCCGAAAACCCCTTCCGACATCCGGTCAAACGTCTGATGTGACACCCAAAAATTTCCTTTTCCCCAACTAAACACACCCTTACAGGTGCAACACGGCCGAAAAACATTGTTGTCCGTCAGACTGAAACAATCAGTGCCATTCCCCACCAAACGTCTGGCAGCACAGTAAAGCACATTTAATAAAAAAAAAACGGGGCTCGGAACCTAACTCCTATATCCATATATTTAACAGTGGAGATAAAAATTTACCTGAAGAAATACTCAAGAGTTTTGGTCTCCATTTGCTAGTCCCTATTGACTTAAAAGTGCATTCAGTATCTGAAAGAATGCAACCCTCCTAGGAAGATTTGTTAGCCGCAGGGTTTCTGCCAAACTGTATAATCATTGGTTTGCCTTTGAACACAAAACCATGTACAAGATTCTGCAAAACAAAGAATCAAACCATTCTTTAGCATGCATGGCCATGATAGGTTCAGTTGTAAACAAATCATAGTCTTCAGCGTGCATGCCTCCAATAGACTCAATTTTTGTAAAAAGTAATAGAAGGATAAAATACACCAAATTAAAGCTGTATCATAAGGAGAATTCAGTAAAACTGTGTCCGCATGGGCCCAACCATAGCATGCAGACTAACAAATCATAAAAAGTTTGATGAAGTTTAGAGCCTCAAAAGGCCTAGCAGAGTTTAGTTACTGTCCACTTGGATTGGTTAGACAGAATCTATCTCCAGTTGATTGAGGAAAGACTGCAAACCTTAACCATGAACACTCAGGAGTTTGGATGATTAAATTCTTTAGGAAGGAACCTGGTATGTGCCATTCGCATATTGTGTTTTCTATCCTAGAAATTGAACAGGGGGACGTATGCTCTTTCAAGATAAATAACATAATTCACCTTTTCTTTCTCAGTTAAGCTGCGTTAATGCAACTTAAACTGACATTTGCCAGTGCCGAGCCTAATGAGAAGCTCTAAGTATTTTGTCAATGCCAGTAGTTTAGTCACTAGAGTTTGGTCGATTACTTGTGTCTTATTGTGGAAAACAAAGAAGTAATATTGTCTAAAGAAACAACTGATAATCACTAACCAGTGCGCGTTGAGCAAGTTCAACCGATGGAAATGTCACAAAAGCTTGGCCCCGCATCCGCCCCTCCTGGAAAATGACCAAAACTGATAATGCAACCGAATAATCCACTAGCAAAGTGAGACGACAAAGCAGTTTAAAAGCTAATAGGTTATGTGGTTTCAAACAAACAGCGAATTCTCTGATAGTTTTCAGCATGGATAACATGGGTGCAGAGGAAGGAACATCATTTGTTGTTTTGCATGGAACTTATTTGTGGATAAAGAGTAAAAGCAAAAAGAGCATGCACATTTGACCTGCATTAGTTTGATGCTCAGACTAGATCGTGCAATGTCCATGTTTTCAAAAACAGACCCTGGGGAGCAGATAAAAAAGAAATTAGCAAGATAATATGAGAATTGAGAAGATACTGCCGTGATCTTTTTACAAGTAGTTAATAAACAATGCATTCAGTTTCCAGCTGTCTCACCAAAGACATAGTAGAAGTCATCCTGAATGACATCCTTTGCCAAGTTTTTTATGTATAACACACTGGCAGGATTCCCTGGTGTGTAATTCTGCCCAAAAAAACAGTGACACGCAGAAATGTCAAAGAAATAGAAAAGAAAAACCTGAGACTGCTAGGTTTGCAATAAATTCTTTTTTCTGGTTCATGTTCTATGTCCAATTTAAGGAAAAGCAACTGAAAAAAGGGTCACAGTGAAGAACAGGCCTATTTGTGTGACATCAAAGCAATACCAGCGTATGAAAAAGAATATAATGCGGCTTATCTAACACCAATCTTCGAACTTGTAGTTTCTCATTTCTGAGGTCAAGACGATGAAAGCAGCTCAACAACAGCCAACAGATAATAATGGTGGCATATATTTGTATTGACCATTTTGATATTACATTCAAACACCAAGAGAAAATTACATAACTGAAATACCCTGCAAATGACACAGGGTCACTTTGTAGTTGCTGTGCTGCGGGATCCAGGTAGTGAAAGGGATCTTTACTAATGCAAATAAGGTTTTGTTATAACTCAAAAAATTGTGCTCAAGTAACAATTTCATCCTAAAATAGCAAGAAAATAAAGACACAAGAGTTTTCTAAAAGCCCTGTCATATAATACCAAATTGATGAATAACTAGGCTTGGCAACCAAAGTTTATGTACCTTGAACATAGGAAGGGACAAAATCTCCTCTGGCGGCAATTTCTCTTTTTCTATATCCTGAGGTGTGACAAAATGTTTTCCTTGAAGTTGTTCAGCTGTTGGCACCAATTCTTTGTCAGTAGTACTTTGAACAGTAAGCTCCTTCTGTGCAGCCTTTGGGGCAATATTAATCTGTAGATAATTGTTGCATTAGAAAATATAAGAAGGCACTAAACCTTTGGATAATGACATATGGGAAAGAAGTTCACCTGCAGAACTGGATTTTTCTTTTTTATCACTTGAAGCTCACTAGAAACTAATGCAGCAGGTTTCACCCCGACTGCTTCATGAGCAATACTTTTATCAACTGCAGGACCAACAATAGCTTCATGCTTTGTGCGCTTAACTTTCCTTTTATCAACATCCTCCTGAAACCAATAAAGTAGCCATGCTTTATGATTAAAATGGCAAAGAAACTACAAGGTGGAAAACGATAAAGGATGAAGTAGCATGTACATCAGAAGATTCCAACTCAGACTCATCACTAGACAGATCTGTCAAATGAGGTTTATTTGCTGCAGACGGCTGTGGAGGTGGTGGTGGTGGTGGTGGAGCAGGCACTTGTGATGGTAGAGGTGGAGTAGGCAACGCCATCCGAAATGGAGCTGGAAGATTCATCTTATTCATCAAATGCAACACCTGTAAACAGAACATACATAAAAAAAATGCATCTACATTGACTTCTCAAAATCATGCCATGAAATGCTACATGTTAGGTTGAAATCCTAATAAACCTGGGTGTAAAATCGGGGAACAGCAATTAGAGCATTGACTATATTTGTCAATATGTTTCCATCTGGTGGAGGATACGCGTACCTACAAAAAAGAAAAGACATTCCAAAGTGCAATAAGATCAAACAAGAGCAACTGTGGTAGCTTATGACTTGTAGAAATGTATATCAGATAGATCTCCTCAAGATAACAAGTGGTTGACCTATTTGAGAAATGTAAAACGTTAATTTGAACTTAAATAGATAAGAGTGGAGAAGACACTAGTGTGATTTTGGTTAGTTCCAGATGGATTGCCATTAGCGTGGGACATAGATGGGCATTGCATTGAAGAACTCAAGCCTTGTTTGGCTAATGGGTTAGGGGAATGATTTCCAACCCACCAAAAGGCATCTTTAAATCCTAACCATCCATTTTCCCTCTTCCATTTAACCCTAACCCTTCACTCATTTCCCAATCCCAATCCCACTCTTCTTATCCCATTATCCAAACAAACCCTCAGGCCTTTATACTAGGCAGTCCGTCCAAATGATCAAGCAGCTCAACAATTCAACACACATAAATCAATTCGTTTCTCGATATCCAAGCATTGCATTGTAACATAAGGTGCAATTTGCAGTTAGGAAAAACAATGTAGAGCTTATGAATATCGAGGACAACTTTGGCAGTTGCCTACTCGGGGCTGATCTCAGTGTGCAGGTAGAAGCTAAGCTCTTAATTATTTTTTCAAGACTGGGCATTTGGTATGTAATCGGTGTATTCACAGGAAACAGAACATGTTAGAAGGTGATGAAAGAAATGATGATGATGATGATGGTGAAACTTACTCGAGGTGCGGAGGAAATGGATAATCCACCCCAAGCCTAGGCGCAATTGGTTCAGCAGAAGATATGGGATTCTTCTGGTTTAAGGAATTCATACTTGGCACTTGCAATGCCCCTTGTGCTTCATGCTCCTGTTGCTTCTCGTTAGCATTCTTTGAATTTGGCTGGTTCGCTCTCTCGACTATCAGCACTTTCCCAAGGAACCTCAACCTGCAGAAATGCATAATTGAACAGGATAATATGGAACATGTAAGGCCAGTTGAGCATTACGGAGGACTGGTTCACAATATTAAGAAAATATCCTCAAGTGATTTAACAATGAGCAGAGCTTGTGCTTGAGGAAAAGAACCTGTTCAGCAGAGACTGTGCCTGACTGGCCACTACCTCGTCCCTAAAATCTACGAATGCGCAATTCCTCAACCTATTGCAGTAAAACGAAAATAGTTTCAGTCATCACGAAAAATACTACAATTGTTCCATCGCTGCACATGCCAAGCGACTACTGCAGTAAGCAGATAGTTGATGAATTTCAGAGCGACATAGTTGAAACACTTCGTAGCACATAAGTAGGCGATAAGTGAAGACCAAGTACTTTCCACCGGCGCAGGGGCGGACGGATGTGGCGCCGTAGTGGGAGAAGAGGCGGGAGAGCATCTCCTGCGGGATGGCCTCTGGAAGGTGCCGCACCAGGAGCGTCGCTGCCGGCGGAGCAGATCCAGGCGGCTGCTGCTGCTGCTGCTGCGGCGGCGGCGGCGGCGCTAGTGATGGAGTAGCGGGCGCGGGACGAACGTGCGGAGGCGGCGGCGGCGGCGGGAACGATGCCATCGGAGTCGTACCGGGGCTCGGTGTCGATTCGGGAAGATTAGTAGGGTTTTCGCCGAGGTGCCTAGCGAAGGTGGGAGGGCGCGGGAGGAGGAGATGAGGCTTCCGGGGCGCTAGGGGAGATCGGAGAGTGCGGAGATGAGAGAGGCGACCGGCGAGGAGGCGGGAGGAGGACGGCGGCGCTGCTGCTGTGTGCCGTGCGGCGGGGAGGGCGGCCGTCTGCCGAGGAGAAGGCCGATGCCGTGGCATGGCTCAGTGGCCGCCTTAGTTGTGGCCGGCCCACTAGTACATGGGTTGGCCCACCAAGGGCCCACGGCCCAGACGAATTGTGTGTGTTCGTTGGCCCGACCCAATGGCTTGCAAAGTTGCAAGGAATAAGTTCACTTGAAGTCCCTTAACTTGTAAACAAATCTGATTTTCGTCCTTCAACCGAAAAACCAGATACAACTGGGCCCTCAACTATCAAAACCGGTACAAGTAAGGTCTCTTAGCGTTTTAGATGGTGGTTTGGCTGACGTGGCGCATACGTGGCTGGTTTGACTTAGTCATCATCCTACGTGGCGGTGAGGTGGCACTGCAAGCAAAATATAAAAATTTAAAACTAAACAACAAAAATGGGGCCCACATGTCAGTCGGACGAAAGAAAAAAATAGAGGGACCCAAATGTCCCTCTTCTCTATCCACTGACGACGGCGTGTCGTCGGCTCGGCGCCTCCTCTCTCCCGGCTATCCTTCCTTCTTCGTCGAGCTCCCTCATCGGCCGGTGAGCGCGCGCGGAGAGGGAATAGGGCGGCGGCCGGCGAAGGGGTGGAGACGGACGCGAAGAGATAGAAGGGTGGTGGCCGGCGAGGGGGACGAAGACAGACTCAAAGAGGGAAAAAGGGCGGCGGTCGGTGAGGGGCGGCGTCCGCCTCCTCCCTTTCCGCGCACTCAACGACTTCCCCCATGTCCTCCCTGTCCACTCCTCGCGCCTCCTCCTCGAAGCGGCGGATGTGGAGGAGTCGCACCCACGCAGCTCAAGAACGCGCAGGCACACGAATGGCAGGAATGAGAGCGGCGCCAGGTCCCGCCCCGGCCCGGCGGCCACGACCTTGAGCGACGTGAACAGGCGCAGGATCTGCCGGAGCTGCTCAAGCGCGCGGTGGTCGCCGAGGTCGGCGGCGTAGGCGCGGAGGTAGTCGACGGGCGCACCGGCGCCAACCGACCTCCAACTCCCATAGTTGCCATTGCAACCGTCGGGATCGGGCTAGGGTTTGGGGAGCCGCCGCATTAGCGAATAAAGGCAGAGCAGACGTCGAGGAGGGGAGAGGTGGCGGTGATGGTGATGGGGAGAGCGACACACCCGCCTCCTCCTCCCCCGGCCACCGCCTCCTCTCCTGTCGTTCCCGTCGCCGCCGCCGCTTCCTTGAGCCCCATCGCCGTGGACCTCCCACCACCACCGCCGCTTCCTACGGACGCAACGGTGATCGCCGCCACCAACCATGTGCTTCAGATCGCGCGAGCACCGTGGCCGAAGAGCTCCGGGCGGCAGCGGTAGCTCGTCGGTGAGGGAGCTCGAGGAGGGAGGAGGGGATTGCCGGGATGGAGAGTTATGAAGCGTCACATCCGTGGAGATAGAGATGAGGGTGGGATCCACTGACATGTGGGCCTCACTAATCTTATGTTTTGTATGACTGACATGTGGGTCCCATATTTTTTAAAAATTTACATTTTTTACTTCTAGTCCACGTCACTGCCATGTAGGAGAAAGACAAAGTCAAACTAGCCACATGGGCGCCACGTCAGTCAAAACCGCCATCCAAACCGCCTTAGGACCTTATATATACTGGTTTTGTAAGTTGGAGATGCGTTGGATCCAGTTTTGAGGTTCAGGGATGAAAATCAGACTGGACGACAAATTAAGTGACCTAAAGTGAACTTATTCCAAGTTGCAATTAACTGCCTGGTCTACCTAGCCCACTTTCACCCTGATTTGTATGTGGGCTTGTGGCCCATGAAAAAATGCAGGTCGTGCTCGATTCTCGCAAGTAGCTCAAATGAAAACTTTTGTGCTGGAGAAGCGGGTTTTTAGAAGCCGCCTGCAAAATGAAAATTTTCACGCGTTTTCGATGGACTTTTAACTGGAATTTTTACGGCCCCGTCGCAAAGTATCGGCCATTTACGTATGATCGTACGTCGTTCACAGTTTTCCATTTTTCTGCCGGCCAAAATTTGTCAGTTTCGTACTCTCACTCGAAGCGCGCGTTTCATGATCAGCGGTGTCGATCCCGAACTCGCTCATCATCTCACCGCGCGTCGATGCATGCGCGATACTATGTGCCACGTACGCTGCCATGGTCGCGCACGACTGCGTGCAGACGTGCAGTGTGTGCGAACCGGAGTGCAACGACGGCGAATCGCGGGCTCGCGGCGGTGCGCACATGTTCAGAATTGACCGAGGCACCGAGCTGTACGTGAATATTCTGCTCGTGAAGTAACGACGTCCTGCATGATCAATGCAGATGTGCATGTAACAGATTGTTGACCGCGGAGGAGGCCCCAGTAGTCAGTACTAGATAATATAAACAACATTTGACATTTCAGTAGCTAGGCCAAAAAACCATCACACCTAACACGTACGTACGTAGGTATAGTAGTAGGTACGTACGTACATACGTTCCTTTCCTCTCATCCTAGCTGCGCGCATATCCATTCCAGTATGCCTACCCTTATGTTTGAAAATATCTTAGCCCTTGCTTGTAAAACTCTCGAAAGGGGATTTTTGTACGATTTACAAGCGTGTTCTTGTGGCAAGCATGCGTCCTTGGGTACGTGCAAACCCGTTAGCCAAGTGACCCCGGAGACGTAGCCATCGAAGTTCCCAGTTGGCGCACTCAAGCGAACCACACCTGGCAATTAACAACACCTGCATCAGCGCAGCCACGCAGCTCGCCATTTTTGCCAGCTTCTTGGACGAGCCAACGAAAAAGAGCAGAGAAAAATCGAATCCAGGAAGAAGAGAATCCAACATAGCCTACAGCTAGCGTCGTGACGGATTCGATCACATAATACGAAAACATTAATTGCGGCCGCCGTTGACATGCATCAGACGCCGGCCGGGCTCAAGAGATCCCTCGATCTATGAAGAAGTCATGCAAGTATGTCAAAATTGGAACTCGTAAGTTGAAGTGGCGAAACGGCAAACATCCTTCGTCGGATGATTCCAAAAACGGACGACTCTTGTGTCCCGTTTCACGCCAAATGTTTTACGGCGTTTTAGGACTCAAAAACTCCCACGTGCGTACATGTGTACCATATATACGCCCTCGTGGTTGAGCGACCAGCATGAGAATATGCGAGGCTCTTGTCACGAAACGTAAACTTGGGCTCGTGTGATACACGATTTTTTTTTTGTTTCTCCCCAAGACTAGAGCGCAGGTGAGTGAGACGCCAGTACGGAGTACAGTACAGCTGTCTCTGAAACCAACATGCATGAACCTATCTACGTGCCACCTCTCTATCTCTCTCTCTCTCGGTTGCTTTCACGACGTACGTTGGTTAGCTACTCAGTTTTGCACAACCTTTGGAAGTCGATCGACACGAGAACTGAAAGGAAAAAAAAACGGTGCATCCTTTGACAACAAATCCATTTGTTTATGGTGCGAGCCACGGGCAAAAGTGTCACTTGACTAGGTTAAACTCGTACTTTATTCGCTTGCACTACTGACAATGACAAGTACTGCGTCCGCCACCAACCGCAGGGGAAAATAAACAACGCAGCAGGGAAGCGCCTAATTACCAAACTTTTTATCCACTCCGTTCTCACGCTGAGTTGATCTACCCTATCTCACGGCGTCGATACTACTAATACTACTCTCTTCGGTTTCATTTTAATTGATGCTTTAAACAATGACACGCTCTACAAGATATATCTTTGACCTTATTTTTCTATTATAATATATACAATAAATAAATACATGTTTATAGTGTTTTGAAAGAAAAATCTATATATGTTTTTCTAGTTTCTTTAAACTAAATATTTTTAAATTTATTGATGGTTAAAGTTATAAAAGTTTAATCTCAATCTTGTTCAAAACGTCAATTAATATAGAACTAGAGAGAGAGAGGGAGTACAGATCATCAGTAGTACACGTTGCAGTAAATCGTGTACTAGTATTAACTATTGTGAAGAATCACGTTATATTGATCGGTGCACGGTGTCGGCCGGCGTGCAGTGTCTCGGAGACTGAGCTTAGTGAACACTCCTATCTAGACCGACCTAATAATAATACACGGTTGGGCTAGTTTTGTCCGGTCTTTTTCGACGCACACTTTCTCGCTACGGATGGACCAATGGGGCGGTGAGCCGGTGACTCACCGAGGTCGCAAGTGTGTGCGTGCATGCCTCAGATGAAGCAAACGTGTATACGACACGTGAACAATGCCTTGTGTATGCTAGTACAAAAGTTTGCGTGCCACATGCATTCGGATGCATGCTTGGATCGTCTGATGATTCCAAGTTATGGGCATCAGCTAGATTAGTGCTGCTACTACCGTCTTTCTACTAGATTCTAGCAAAGGAAGTATATATGCCTTCATCTCCAATACAGTACTGACCTTTTTGCCCATCAAGGTTAGGTAAACTCTTCCGCTTTGTGGGCTTTAGACGCTTCGCAAAGGCGGTTTAGTCACTTCGTTTCGATTAAGATGGCAACCAAGTAAAAACAGATGAAAGCATTGATCCATCACGATCCATTAACTTCACTGCCCGGAAAGACAGAAAGAAAGAAAGAAACGCTTGCAGCGGCAGAAAACGGTAGAAAAAAAACTCTCATCTAGAACGGGAGAGAGGTGGACGGGTGTGGGCCCCGGGGAGGCAGTTGGCTTCGAGATCTTTTTTTTTTCTTTGGCACCAAGACTGAACCGACCAATGGGTGGAGGCCGGTGGGGCCACGGCGTCCGACAGCGACGTCGCCCCGTTGCCGTTGCACGCGCCGAAGCGCGTCACAGGCGTCCTCGCGCGGGGTGGGAGACGGAGACGGCGATGTGGCCGGCCGTGCAGCAAAGCAGAGCGGATCGGACTCCCCCATCGCCACCGCGCGAAACCTACCAAAACGTCCACGTTTTCACAAGTGACACCGTGACAAGGATCCCCCGGTGAGGCGGTGACCCTGCATCAGGAGTGGTTCCTCTGCGAAAGATCGCGAATTTAAATTAGCATGTTAAAACGACCTTTAATTATAGCTCCAACGATAGGCAAGTCAAGTGCAGAAATCAAGTGAAAACCGCGTGGGGGAACGTGACTGTCAAGGAGGGTCTAAAGACTTGAGAGAAAAGAGAGTATTAACCAGTCATTAATACTCGAGGATTTCCATCATTTAATCTCGCGAAAGAAATCTCTCCCTTGCTAAACGAGCAAAGCGAACGACCGCTGCTTGCCGGGCTGCTGCTTGGTTGGGTGTCGCATAGCTGTCAGTAATCTGGGGAGATATGCTGCAGAGCGTAACGGTCCCAGATGAAGCCAGCAGCAGTGGGCGCCTGTGATGAAAAGAGCACGTACATTACGCGTACCGCGGGGGCACGTGTCGCGCTCTTGCGTCCAAAGTCCAAACGGAAAACCGACCACGGTTTGCGAAGTTGCTCTTCGGTGGACACAGCACCTTCCGTTTCTGATATGATGATGCGTATCAAGCTGTACTGCGCGTACAGGATTGAGCCGATCACGAAATATCATACTAACGCTTTTCTTGTTTGGTAATTCGTATCGGTGCCGTCCTTGTGAACCGTGCATGTTCTTCTCGCAAAATGATTGCACGGCTCGCATATGTCACGTATTTTTCAGGTACCATGTAGCAGATAGTTTAGTTCGTACAGGCATATGTCCATATGGGTAACTACTCGATCACCAGGTGTACCTTAGCCCAGGATTAATTAAAGACGGCCGATGATTCGTCCTGCTCCGATCCGATCATATTCACACACCTGCTAGTGCAGAGGTCACCTAATCCGTTCCGTTCCCGTACACGTCCAAAACGCCATCAAACGAAAGCGAATCATGGGCGTGCGCATCGGAACAATTTCTGTTCCGACGGAGACAAACTTTTGGGAATACAATACTCCTGCGGCCTGTAGCCGGGTAGTTAGTGGTCACGCCCCCAATCGATCGCCTCACAATTATACACAAATCAAAATCCATTCGGGTGCAAAAAAGAAAGCCTTTCAGAGCAGCATATACTGGTGCTTTTCTTTTGGGGCAGAAAAGGAGGGCAATATCTAAATGAGAGATAGGCCCCGTAGGCCCCACGTCAACCGCCACTAGCTATGGCTTGTCTAGTCTCGTCTCATCTCAGCCGATAAAATCCCTTACAAAATGCGGGCCCTAATCAGCATCCTGAAAGCAACCTGCATCTGGACATCCCCATCGGATTAATTAACCAAATCCCCAGAGGAAAACAAATAGAGTAGTGAGGAGCCTAGCCAGGGGAGGCATGGATGCATCCCCCAGGAGGAACAATTAGTGCCATCTATCAAGTTAACCTTTCTTTAAACCTCCCTGTGATTAGTATACACACCATCGCTAGCCTGTCCAATTGTTCTATCCATGATTCCTTCATCCACCAGAGGGAGGTGGCGCTGTTTAAAGAAAGAAAAAAGAAAAGCTTGGAAAGGTGCGACGCAAGTGCCATCGGATGATCGAGGAGCTAAGCCTAAAGTTGTGACGTCACGGCGCGACATGGACAGCTAATCCAATCCGGATCCCGAGGGTCCCCCTAGGACACGAGACTCCAGAGTACGTGACTCTCTCTCTGTCTCTCTCCCGAGGAGGAGTATTTCTGTGTCACGGCTCACGACTCCTCCCTAATCTAAACCGTGTAATATCATTGGAGTCGGGTTTAGGGGGGAGAAGGGAGAATATTCGCGCAAAATCAACTCTCGCGAATGCGACCGGCTCTGCCTGACGGGATGAAAACGAGTCTTCTTTGCGCCGGCGGCATCTGCTCACGCACTCGCTTCCTTCCCCGTCCTTCTGCCGTGCGAGCCTTCGGCGCCGGGTTTTGATGCACGATCGACGCGATCGAGCGCGTGAGAATAGCAAGCGCATCGCCGCGCAACCCGGCTGTCGCCGAGCGGAGGATTCGTACATCGTGTTGCGTTGCGTCGAACGGGAAGCGATCCTAGCAAGAAAAACCGTTTCGTCTGGCACGAACGAACGAACTCGCCCGGGAGCGCGGCTGTCCCGTCCGGCTCGTCGCCGTCGCCCACTAGCAGCCGCGCGCGCGCCCCCGGCTGCTGCTGCGGCGTGTCCGCGACAAGTTCTCGAACCGGCGAGTTGTGGGGTTGCCGGGTTGGTTAGCTGGTAGTTGGTTACGATCGATGTGCCCGTTTCGTCTCGTTTTTCTTTTCCCGGCTTTGGGCCGTTGCGCATCGGCTAAATACATACATGATCGGGGAGGCGCTTAGGTTTCCAAAAGGGGATAAGGCCGAAGCCGCCGACGCAACGGAACGCATGGCGCACCCGCTCACCGGCTTACGTATGTGTTCCTAGTACTAATAGGCAATAGCTAGTAGTAGTACGCGTCAACGTAGCACACGATTGGACGAGCGCGACCGTGATGACATCGCGGGCCATGAACAATAGTAGGATAGGATAGATTTGTGAGGGCGTTCGTGATCGATCGAGCAGCAGCAGGTGGTACTTTCAGCTGGTCACGTCGAGGTTGCACCAGCAAAGGGAGTAATAAGTGAGGATTGATCAACATGTTGAAGAGGTACTAAAGGAAAAAGGCTAAACCGAAGCATCAATTCACATATGATGAGATGTCTAGCTCAAGCAATTAATGGTACATGTACATAGTATAAAGCTTTATAAAGCTAGCAGCTAGCTGGCTCATCAAATGCCAAATTAATCAATTCGTAAATGATCAATCCACCCCTAATCTACACCCCATTGATTGTAGTATAATCAATCATCATGCTACTAGACACAATCAGGATACCCCGTACTTAGTAGTAGTAATTGTATTTACATCAGATCAAGACATGAAGAAACCTAGCTAGCTAGGATTAATTAACAAGGAGTCCTAGCTAATCCCTGGAGGTCTGGATGGATGATAAATAATCTGATCATCCGAACCCATCCCGAGAAGAAGCCTTCGATCGGAAGGAGGAAGAGAAGGATGCATCAACAAACTGCCACTAATTAACCCAAGCATGAAACACCAAGTTAATTAATCAAATCAAGTAATTAATCAACCAGCCTGAAGCAAAATCCTGTAGCGCAAGGTCGGTAGGGAGCTAGCTCCGGATCATTCAGGCGTGGATTAGTTCCAGAAGTCGTCGAGGCCCAGAATCCCGTCGTCGAACTCCGGGAACGGCTGGGACGTCGGCGCCGACGAGATCTCCGCGCAGCCGGCGGCGTTGGGGTCGGTGCTGAGCCCGGTGTCGCGCGAGGCGCTGAGCGCCGACGTCTGCCCCGAGACCTGCTCCGCCTTGCAGTACCTCCGGATCGCCGACGGCGTCAGGTCGCCGGGGTGCACCGCCGGGAGCGAGAAGTACTGACCCGAGTGCAGCATCCGCGGCGGCTGCTGGTGCAGGTACGGCAGCGGCAACGGCTCTTCCATCTTGACCTGCTGGTAGCTCATGACCTGCGACGCGACATGGAAGCCGGCGGCGATCGCGGCCTGCCCGGAGGTCGACGCGGACACCTTGGCGTCGTCCACCCCGTCGATGTCGGCGACGAAGGAAGGGTCCATCAGCGGCGGCAGCTCGGCGGGGTCGATGAAGTCGCTGAGGAAGCTGAACGAGCCGACCCGCTCGATCCCCGCGTCGTCGGCGGTCGCTTCGGTCACCGCCATTGGCCCGTTCTTCGCCGCCAGCGCCAACTCCTTGTTGAACACCTTGCACACCGCCCACTGGTCCTGTTCGCAAACAAACGCGTCGAGGAAAGATGAGGAATCAGCACATCGACCGAGAAAGGAAGGAAATTTTCAAACTTTGGAGAAGTAAGCAGAAGCGAGAGTAGCATGGCAAGGCAAGGACGCAACGGCCGGACCTTGGCGGAGCGCGGGAGCTGGCTGGGGAGCTTGCCCTCGAGGCGGAACTCGTGCATCACCCAGCCGGTCTTCTCGCCACGGGGCGCGCGGCCGAGGTAGAAGACGAGCGTCTTCTTCATGCCGACGAGGATGCCCCTCCCGCGGAAGATCTCCTTGTCCTTGCCGGTGGCCTTCCAGTAGCCGCTCTCCGTCGCCCGGTTCGTCCTCGTCCCGGTCGGGTACTTGCGGTCCTTGTGGCAGAAGAAGTACCACTCCTTCTCCCCCATCTTCGCCATGGCTGCCAAAAATCAAACCACGCAAACTCATCCGTAAGCCCAAAGATTTATCGTACGAACGAATCAAGGGGAGAAAAAAAAGGAGAGAATTCAGGAACAAACCTGGGAGGTGCCATGGCTCGCACTTGTTGAGGTCGACGTCGCCGATGACGCCGGAGGAGAAGCGGTGGTTGAGGGCCTTGGGGGTGAGGTAGTGCGAGACGATCTCCTCGTCGGTGGGGTGGAACCTGAACCCCGGCGGCAGGTCCAGCGGCGCCGCCGCCGCCGTCTCCTCCACCTCGGCCATAACGGACACCTCAGACATCTCCTCCGCCCTCCCCCGACCTTCAAAGCTCCCTCCTTTCCTCACCGCACCGCACCGCACGCCGCCACAAGGCTAGACGAAGAGGAGGAGGAGGAGACGGACGCCGAAGCCGGCGAGAGAGAGGCTTGTGTGAAAGAGAAGGATGCAGGGTTTGGGAACGAGAGAATGGACTTGGGGTTGGGGGGGAGGAACCGAGGGGCGGCTTTTATAAGGCTCGACGCGGAGGAGAGCCGTGCCGAGGCGGCTTGCGGCCGAAGCCTCCGTCGCCTCGCCCCCACGGTGGGGTGGGGCTTCACGTCTTTCACCGAGCCGAAACTGTCCTAATTACCTAATTAACCGTGCTAATCCTGATTGCCTGGCCCTAACTACTACTACTACTACTACTACTACTGGTAGGCAGTAGCTAGCTCTCCCCTTCAATTTTTCACTGCTCTTCCCCACCAAGGCACCGACCACCGCTGCTTTTTGGCTGTGGAATATTCAGTCATCCGGACCTCCACAGCTAACGCGGCACCGGCGGTGCTGCAGCGAAGAAAAAACCTGCGTGCTTGTTGATTTTTAATTTCCTCTTTTTTTAATATATATATATATATATATATATATATATATATATATATATATATATATATATATATATATATATATATATATATATAAAACAGCTCAACCGGTTCGCATTAATGTGTTTTGATATGTTTACATTTCTCTAGCTGACTTGAAAAACGAGTGAGCTAGCTCGCTGGGTCTCTCCCCCCACATGCCCCCCACGAGAAAAATTCAACCCAGCAGCAGCCGGCCAGCCGCTGCGCTCTGCACCCCAGCCCAGCCAGCGCATGGTGCATCAGGCAACCGCTAGCTACCTCTTCCAGAGTCCCAGTTCCTTTCGAGCGATCAGATATCGGAAAAACACGTCGCAGCTGCTCCGAAACCTTGCAGATACCGATGGATTGGTCCATGCCAAATCTCTCCCTCCTCTCTCGCTTCTTTGGGGAAGTTGTTCCAGTTGCTGCTGTGGGCGCCTGTGACGTTTGTCCATGCGACCGGAGGGAGGGACCGGGTGAGACGTCGAGCTCGCGACCACGACAATTTTCTGCATTTTCTGCAAAGACTGACACGGGCTGGCTTTCACCCGTGTATGGGCGCGGCCGAGCCCCAAAAAAAGTGCTGGAAAATTTGACTCTCCCGAGCAGCGTTTTTTCCCCCTTTCTGAAGTGAACACGCGCCGGTGTCCACCGTGCCATCAGCCCCCCCCCCCCCCCCCCCCAAGTTTCCGGCGTCAGGAAGGCGAAATGTCAAGCGGCGACGTGCTTCTGTTCCGGCCTAGCATCGTCCCTGCGGCCCCAGCAGCATGACGTCGCAGCAAAATCTAATTGTTTTTATTGCTGTGTTTGCTGGTGGTGTCCTTGCACACGTTAAGCGAGCGCCAATGGATATCATCTTTGCCGATCGAAGGAGGAGTTGGCCTAACGTGAACGACTTATTGGCGTCGAAAGGACAATTTAAAAAGCTCATCTTTGCAGAGTTCAGAAAAGGGAGGAAAAATAAAGGACGGATCGAGTCAAGCTAACAAAGTTCCAAACTGTTCATTGAAAATGCCTTTAGACCACCTAAAAAAAGTAGATATCATTGTTTATTGGCAAGTCAGATAAGAAGGATGGCTATGACAGCATGTTTTGAGTTCCAGAGAGAAAACAAGTAAATGGGCGATAATAGCAACAAGTAGTACTTCTCTTGCGGGTCAATGTTTTGTAACCACTAGGCATGTTCAATGTTCAATAGCCGCTGCGTTAAGCAGTACCGGCTTGTAATCATATATGGGTAAATTAACAAATCATTTGAAGGCTTCAAGTTGATTTATACTTGATTTTCAACTCATTGTACCAACCACTGCTCTCGCATATTTGCATTGACTAGTTCATGCAAGAGAATCTCACTACCACAGCCCCCTAACCATCGTCCATAGCAACATTGTCAACTACAAAATACATAACAATTTTCGTCTTTTTCCGATAGCTACAGTGCACCCGAAATTGATTTCCAGGGCATTTCATCTAGAGGATACATTCAAACACAAAATATCCAGATTTAGTTGGGAACCCCAATACATATATAACTGTAATTAAAGCATCAACAGAGGATCACATTTCAAGCGTCAAAATTATCAGCGCAAATGTGCAATGCACTCCTGAAATAACAAAACTGGCGCCTAAGCCCCTAGGATGTAAATTATCAGGCAGCGGGCAATTGAAGCTTTTTTTTCTCTGAAAGAACGGCGACCTGATCGAATATGAATTGCAACGAAACGGCCGCAAGTTGGTCTTCACTTCCAAGTACGGCAAACCAGAATTCCAGCGCATGCAATGCAGGTGCAGGAGAGGCGCAAAAGCCTGGGACGTCAGGAAGACACGGGATATTCTTCCTGGCACGGCCTCCAGCTCAGACAGGCGTGCCGTTTCTGCTGCTGCATGCGGCCTCGCCGGTTCTACCCCGCTTATCCAAGCCCCAGATTAGATAATTTCGGTGCTTTTTGTCAGGGCGATTGGATAAGCGTTAAGCCATAGTAGAGTACTGTACTATGGTAATTTGATTATTGAACTGTTCAAACCTTTTCTGTCCCTTGGTGCCATTCAGGGGCACGTGTCGCTCGCATACTCGCGAGATGAGACCAGTTGATAGGCTTTGGCTGAACAGGAGGGGCAGTAATAGTAGTAGGACTGATAGTACCATGTGTTAAAATTGTTTGCCGGTGAGAAGATTCGTTTGATCTCGTAGGGATAAGCACGTCGAGAAATCCTACGCCGCCTGTTCACCGAGCGCACGCACCTGGCTGGTATTAGACCAGCCAGATCCATGTGCAGAAATGCACTTCAACTTCTATTCTTGGTGAGGACTTCAGGAGTGGAATAGGTCCTGTAGAAACCTGGAAGTAAGAAAGAAAATGAGCAGGAAGAATGCCCAGATTAGGCGGCTTTAGTTACGGACAGAACGGTAAAGCTCGCTATCCTGTAGGCATGGCGTTTGGTGGAGCACTCCAAGTGGGAGGTATCATGCGAGCGCGATGCATATCCCCCGACAGTGCAACGTACGCTGCGATGCGTCGATGAGTGGCCTGGCTGCCTGGCTCGATTGAGTGGGTCCCCGTGACGTTCCGCGTTGATCCAAATGGAGGAGGAGGAGGCCGTGACAGCGGGCAGCCAGCGTTGGTGGAGGCTTGGAAGCGAGGCAAGCGTGGCGATCGACTGGCGAGTCGAGTGGCGACGGACGTCGCGCTCGTCGCATCGACTGTACCGTGTACCCCACCCCTCTACAGTGGAAGCCTAGGACAGCTACAGTCTACAGGAGGCCACACGCGGACGCGGTCACGTATCGTTGTGATCCGCTCGCCCCTCAGCCTACGGGGCTACGGGCCCCTTTCGCAGAGCGGCGCGTGGTGCGTGCTGCGATGCGAACCCCGCCCGGCCGCCGCGCGCGCAGGTGTGTGTGTGTGTGGGGGGGGGGGGGGGGGGGCTCGACGCCGTGAAGTGACTGGAGATTGGTCGGCGGCCGGCCGCGCGCACCACTATCATCATGCTTTCGTGTTTTCGATCGATCGCCACGGCCGATATCGCAAGCATGGCATGGATACGGGACGGCCGGACGTGTCCGTTTGATGACTCGGTGGATCAGGGCATGTGTATAACATGACTCGGTGCTTTTTTTTTATTTACTTACTACTATACAAGAGTTTTGGAGCATATATTTGTAACTACGAACGGTAATTGCACGCTCTTGCGTTAGTTTTTTTTGGAGTAGCTATATTTATAGTGTCATATTTTAGACCAAAAAATAGTCCGCATGTAGTTACGTTGTAAGTTCCTAAATTACATATGTAATTTTAGTGTATCTACTATATAAGTGGTGTGTAACTACTTTAAATTTTTATAAGTATATAAATAACTACCTATCTAGCTGTTAATGACAAAATTTGGTAAGCCTGGAGTAATTATTGGCTTCAGAGTCCTGGAATCGGCCGATAGGAGTTATCAAGTCGTCAACAGTTGTATTCTTGATGAATTCGAGTAAAGATCAATTAAAAGAAACTTATCTAGAACAGTCCGAGTTCAAGAGGAATACGACATGGCAGTTTATCTATTAATTAGGAATAGTTTGTTAGTTTTCTTTTATCTTTAGAAAAGTGTGTTTAGTGTCCGATAAGGATTTTATGTTTTCCTTTTATTTTTAGGAAAGTTTCTTTCTTTTCCTACCAGGACTAGTATCTACCCGGGTATAAATATGTACACCCGAGGTCATTGTAAAATATCCCTCGATCAATACTACTCTCGGCGCATCGCCACCCTCTTTCTCGAGGTTTTTACTTAGCAACCGGCGGAATTTGGCACCTGACGCGGGGCTGCATCGGTTCAGTTCGATATCCGGCGAAGGGGTAAGTCCTATGTTCCATCGGCCATGGTGAATCTATCGGCTATATTGGTGTTGTTCAAGGCTGCATCGTTTCGATCTCTTGGGTTGCTCTGGTTTGGTTGATATATTTGCCTACCAGATATATCAATTCTATCTCTAATTGCATTGTGTTTAGAGACACATCGGTTTAGTTGGAACTGTCTTGGTTAGGTCTGATCTTCTGTCTTAGCCTATATATCTCTACAATCACAATGCTGTTATAAATAGATTTGTTATATTCATCACATTAGACAGATCTATCGGCTCATCGAGTATTAGATTATCATATACAATCTCGTGCTGCATCGGTTAGGTTCGACCTACTAGATTGTTGTTGATAATATAAATATTGTTAAACCAATAGGTTGATACTAATATTTTATCGGAGTGCAAGCCGATAAATTATCTGGACGTTGCATCGGCTTACAAGGATTACATACAAATTGGATTTAGCCGATGACAACAAAGGTTTCGTTGTTTATCTAAATCGATTGGATTTTATGACATCGAACCTCCGGCCGATCTATGCTTTAGCCTTTGGATTAATACTTGTTCTATCATATCATTATTTGCCTATTGGTTCCATTGGATTATATTATTGTTATACTTTATTATCATCAACCGATTATCTTTATATCATTATCTGCGTTGGACATATAGCCGATTGCTCAAAACCCTACTGACATAGGCTAATATCGGCTATCGGCTGGAATTACACCATCGGCTTGTCAGCCGATCGGTTGTTTTG